ATCATACACGGGCTTACGGAGACAATAAACCCACTATGAACAGTGGTGTGAGCGTGTCGACTTGTAGTTATGACAATTCTGAGACTAGTTTTTTTGGATATGTCGATGAAATACTGGAAATGACATTCACTGGCCACAACAAGTTATCGTGTGTGTTATTCAAATGCACTTGGGTGGATCCAGTGAGGGGGATGAAAAAGGATCACAAACATAACTTGGTTGCAACACTTGAGATTTAATATAAACGGATTAATAGTACTACTCATACCAACAGAGGTGCATCTCCTTTTAAGGGAGCTCATTACCTAAGAACTCCAAAGTTAAGCTTGCTTGCTCAGGAGTAGTCTTGGGATGGGTGACCCCCTGGGAAGCTTCTCAGGGCGCGCATGAGTGAGGACAAAGTGCGCGGTAAAGGCTCGTGGTGGTTTGTGGGGACAGTACTATTGGTTCGGAGTAACTACCTCGGGTCCGGTGGGGCCGAGGTGTTACAGGTGGTATCAGAGCAAACCCGCGACAGTGTGATGACCCGTTGGATATCGGGCGGGCACTTAGCGGGGGAAGATTCTGGGATTTGATTGAGATTTGAGATTGGTTCAAGGGCGCAACGAGGACGTTGCGATCCTAAGTGGGGGTGATTGTAACACTTGAGATTTAATATAAACGGATTAATAGTACTACTCATACCAACAGAGGTGCATCTCCTTTTAAGGGAGCTCATTACCTAAGAACTCCAAAGTTAAGCGTGCTTGCTCAGGAGTAGTCTTGGGATGGGTGACCCCCTGGGAAGCTTCTCAGGGCGCGCATGAGTGAGGACAAAGTGCGCGGTAAAGGCTCGTGGTGGTTTGTGGGGACAGTACTATTGGTTCGGAGTAACTACCTCGGGTCCGGTGGGGCCGAGGTGTTACATTGGTGGATGTTAATCATAGGCGTGTGTATCCGAAAAATGAACCTTTCATATTAGCTCAACAGGCTGTCCAGGTGTATTACGCGGAATATCCGACGACACGGATCAATCGCACTGGCTGGGTAAGTGTTTGCACAATTAGACCGAGAAAAGTTGTTTCTCACGCGACACAAAAAAATGTTGATATTGATGTTTACCAACAAGAGTTTTTCCAAGCCCCAGTTCCAGACATTATTGAGGATATGTTTTTGAACGATTCTACTGGAGCACAAATAGAACTTGACCCCAACAACGCCAACGAGGGAACTGAATACGAAGAAGAAGAATGGGACTTTCAAGCGGAAGATACTGATGATGATGATGATGATGATGATGAGTACGCTGATCGATCGGATCGACTCTGAAGAAGAAGAAGAAGAAGAAGAAGAAGAAGAAGAAGAAGAAGAAGAAGAAGAAGAAGAAGAAGAAGAAGAAGAAGAAGAAGAAGAAGAAGAAGAAGAAGAAGAAGAAGAAGAAGAAGAAGAAGAAGAAGAAGAAGAAGAAGAAGAAGAAGAAGAAGAAGAAGAAGAAGAAGAAGAAGAAGAATGAATGAATTGTTTTATTTTCATGACTTATTCCAAATAAATTAATTTGAGTAGTCTAATTTGTAGCGATTCTCATTATTCTCATTTCAATCTTCTCTACCTGCTGTAATCCGAATACGTCTGATTTGTATACAAACACGACTTTTATTACGCAAAAAGCGAACGTTTTTATTTAAATAGTTAAATAAATAAACTATTTTAACTTAAATACAAACACGAATTTTATGACGCAAAAAGCGGACGTTTTTAAATAAATAGTTAAATAAATAAACTATTTTAACTCAAATACAAAGACGAATTTTATTACGCAAAAAGCGGACGTTTTTATTACATTAATTTTGGTCGAAACATAATAAAATTACTGAAAGATGAAACGATACAAGATAATACATATCACATAATTAAACAAATTATGATAATAACAGTACATAATAAAACAAGACACCAACTTCATTCTTCAAACTGCCTTGCTACCATGATCTTCACTTTTAACCTCCGTTTCACTTCGTTTTTCCATTAACTTTCTAATTTTCTCAGCTGCAGCATCATCAACAGGCTTCATATATTTAAGTATTTCTCCCAGCCTATCAATTTTTTTTCCCAAGGCATCAAAATCACAGCCCCATATTTTTCCCCCACTTGAACCTTCAGATTTTTCCATAATATATCTCTTTCTAATTTCACACTTTCTAATCTTCTTTGCCACAATTATAAATATTTTCACCGTAACACATATTTATAGTACAAATTCGACATTTGGCAAGGAATTGGGTGGGATATTTCCGTCTCAAAAAGGCTAATTCCGGTAATGCAAGTCGTTGGCACGGATATCGCCTTCACAAATCTGTCCCAAAACCGTCTGACATAATAATTACTGACCGCACAGAGTTTCAGACAACTTTTCAGTTTGGCACGGCAAGTTCCGTGCCAAAATCCTTTTCAATTTAAAATTAATTATTTCCGCCTGTCTGTTATCGTTTAGTGCGCCATTGGGACGGATATTTCCGACCCACACTGCCGCCAAATGCGAATAATAACCCGGAATAATCTAGAAATGCTTTGGGCACGGAACTTGCGACGGATTAGGCCGTGCCAATTCAAATAATTCAAATTCAAATTTCAAATTAATTTTCCCCACCGTTTCGTTTTTTTTTTTTTGCACGCTTTGGGGACGGATATGACCGTCGCAAGGTCCGTGCCAACACCGCACAGATATACGAATACTCTAGGACGGGTCTGGCTCCGTCTTTGGGACGGATATTTCCGAGCCAAAACACGAAGTATATAAACTCGCCTTAGCAGATTTTGCCCAAACCCTAGGCCATTACTTCTGTCTTCCGGTCTTCCCCCCTCTCCGCCTCTATTTCCTCCGCCCACTACGAACTCCGGCCACCACTTACCCTTCCACCCCCTCCATCTCCCACATTGAACTCCGGCCACTACATACTCTCCCTCCATCTCCCACAACGAACTCCGGTGACTATAACTTCTTTAAGCAGTTACTCCGGCCACCACGAGGCATTCACCGGCGACGCTAGGATCCATCCATTCAAGCAGCCCCTCTCCTGCATGCCGTGTTTGTAGCGACCTCCGTCCACGACGAAGTTTGTTTCTCCCTCACCGGCCATCGTCTTTGCTCTGTTTCCAGGTCATGTCCCCTTAAAAACTCTTTGGTTACGTTTTTTCATATTAAATTTATTTCAACGTATAGTTAACTTACTTTTTATTTAAAGTCGTTATTTAAAAAAATAATTATCTTAAAAAAAGTAGTTTGTAATTGATTTTATATAAACTATTTATGGTTTATAAAGTATTATCATCTATATAATTTTAAATGAAACTTTAAACAGTTATCATCTATATAATTATTTTTTACGGTTATCAACAAGTTATCATCTATATAATTATTTTATATACGGTTAAACAATGACTTTTATAATTATTTTATAATGTTAAACAGTTATCATCTATACGGTTATCATTTTTATAAACTTTTCTATAATATTAAAGTGACTTGTTTATTATTTTTTAATTAGAAACGAAGTATATTTACAACATAAAATTTTGACAGTGGTATTTATAAATAGAAACAAAGTATTATATTTTTTTACATACTTTTGTTTATATACTTTTTAATTAAAAATGAACTATTATAATTAACATAAAAATATGACAGTGGTATTTGATGAAGTATTTATTTATTTATATTATAAACGAAGTGATGTAACCGTTTGTTCATAATTTTAATTTATTACAATCCACCTATTGTAATCATCTTGTGCATGAAGTAATTATTATAAATAAAGTATATAAATTCCCAACTCTTATATACCTCTCAGTGCTACACTCTTAAGTTAACTAATAATATTGTTAAACCAATGATGATAATTATTAAAGCAGTAAAATCGTATATACAAGATGTAGAATTATACTCCGTAAGTTAGTAATCTGTCTTTTAACTCATAAGTTGTTTTATCAATCTGGGAGTTTGACAATCTGTGTACTCCTCCTCCTTATATAACTAAATGTAACAAGTTGTTTATATTTTTAAATCTATACTTGTATTTTGTTATTATTTGGTTAAAACCTAACTATTTTACTTGTCTCTTTCTATAAATTTGTTATACATTTCAATAGAATGTCTGTCCGTAGAGGTTCATTTACTTCGTTTACTTCCATGCGCGGAGGTCGGGCAGGTGGGGGTAGCCCACACACAGTCCCGGATGAGCAGCCCTCTCCTCAACCTGATTTGCATGAGTCTGTCCAATCCCGACACCTTTCTGATCATTCAAATGGTTTTGATTCTTCGATCCCTGATGAATCTGTTCCGAATAAGACCTTTATTTCACCCTTTGAAATGAGAAGGTAAAGAGTAAAACTGCATTATGTAATTCTTATTTAAAGGATTTCTACCTATATATTACTAATATGTGCTTTTACGATGTAGCAATCCTACTGTCCTCAACAACATCATTTCAATCTTGACTAACAATTTTCACGGTCCGTGGCGTTCTTATATGAATGCGGATGCCGATCAACGCAACCGTTGGTGGAAACTGTTTCAGGTATGTGAAACATACTAACACTTACTTTTGATTTGACAGATTGTGAGTTATTGCTGATCAACTTGTTTTTGAGTTTTCAGAGGAAGTATGAGTGGGATTCCTGCTTTAATACCAAAATGAAGAAGTTCAAGTCTCGGGCCTCTGAATGGCTAACCAAAAACATTGGTAGAGCTAGGCGTGACAACAAAAAGCCGGACTGGATTGGTGATGGAGATTGGAAGGTGTTGCAAGAGTATTGGTCCTCTGATGCTTTTAAGAAGAAAAGCCGTGCTGGCAAGAAGAATAGAAATTCCAAAGCAGGGAAAGAATCACAGTATCGCGGTGGAAGGATACCGGTGACTGCGCATGTTGAAAGGCTGGTTAGATTTCTGTTAGAATTTTGAAAAATAAATAAGAGTTTTTTATAACTATAATGAACTGGTAATTGTGTACTGTTTAGATTCGTAGACAAAGGAGTTGAATAGGCCCCCGCTGAAGATTGAAGTGTTTGACAAAGTGTACGTCCCGAAATCTGGTGACCCCCCGGCACGTGTAGTTGAAACGAAGGTATATATCAGTTTGTTTTCTTACTATTATATATTATAGTTATAGTATATTTGACTCCCCTGTTTTATAATTGTGCAGCAAAAATACAATGAAATGAAAGCCCAGGCTGAGTCTCAAGGGAAATCGTACGAGCAGGATGATTCTGAGCTGTTTTGTGCGGTGGTGCCGCTGTACAAAGGCAGGCGGTTTGGGACAGGATCTGAAGCCGAGGCGATGTCGGACGTTGAATGTTCTAGCAGGATATCGGGGCCGACTCAGCAGGAAATTGATTCCCGCATCAAGGAACAGCTGGAAGCCCGATTTGCGGAGCAGGAGAAGCAGTGGCAAACCCAGATGGCGAACATGACTTCTGTGTTTACGGCGTACATGCAACAAGTGCGAAGTGTGAACCCTTCTGTCCCGCTGCCTGATTTCTCGGACTTTCGTACCCCGACCTCTGCCCAAATGAACGGGCTGGAAGATATGTTTGTGTAATGAAAACAATTTCAATTTCTGTACTACTCCTGGACATCTTCTGGCAATTTACTTGCCATTTCTACTTATGTTTTGGCAGTGGTTTATCTGCCTGGAATGTAATAATTTCATATTATGTACACTTCCTCTTTAATTTACGTGGACTGTGTATAATGTTCTATTGCATGTGTTCTGTATTGATGTGTGCTTTTATTGTTGTTTTGTTACTAACAATGCAGGGGGGAAAATGTACACTGTACATATGTACGGAATACCGTACATATGTACGGTGTACATTTTTTTAAATACACTCATTTGGCACGGATATATCCGTACCAACAGTCCTGGTAAATTTTGAATATATGACGAAGGTTGGCGCGGACATAATCCGAGCCAAATGCCGTGCCAACACAAATCCGAGACAAATTTTTTGGGTCTTGTAAACCTAGTTTGGCGTGGATATTGCCGTTCCTATTTCCGTGCCAAGGTTTGGCACGGAAAGTAAAAGCCGTGCCTACGCGTTTGGCACGAGCCAGGTGCGACGGATTCGACATCCGTGCCAAATCCGTGCCAACAGCGATAGTCTGGGATATTTGTGAAGTGATCCGAGCCAAAATCCGACCCTATGGCGATTTTTTTTGGTAGTGTTAATGCATCAAATACTAGTTCAAAATTATGTTTCTTATTGAAAATAATTGGTTTGTTTGGATTTTTGACAAACCAACCTGAAAAATTGGTTCCCAATAAATTGGTACCCAGTCTTGAAAGGTTTGATTTTGGTTGTGATAATTTGAGTAACCAATATTTCGGTTCAATTCGGTTCCAAGATTCGTGGGATCAGTTACCCGGAACCCAAATTGAATGCAGCTATAGCTATACCTCCCTTGACTAAGCACTCCATTTGGCTTATAGAAGCTAGATGTTTGGTACATACATACTCTTTGGGGTTCCTAAGTATGAGAGTCGCCCTAACGTGTTTAATTTGTACTTCTTATATATATTTAAAATTATATATAATTAGTTCTTAAAGTTTGTGAATATTGATAGTCACTCATGGGTGCCGATCGAGTTAATTCACTACGGAACATAATTATGCACACGATCATATCATGATTTAAATATTGTGTCAAACTCCTTAATTATATTATTATCATTATTAATTGATCACACATGTCATTAGAATTAGAAGGTAGTTATAACTGTATAAGTAGTAATCTGACTGCGCCCAGGGTCCGATATTCCACTGCTCGTGTTCCATAGAAAATTTGGTTTGGAGAAGCTAAGGCATGGATGGCTGATTCGATGTTGCTGGTGAAGTTTAAAAGTAAAATAAAGTTTAATCCAGACATTATTGTTTGCTTAAGTGATGTAGCAATTAAAAACTAAATACTCCGTATCACGTAACAAGGAATTTCAAAAGTGAAATATATTTCGAAGGTGAGAACTCCGGTACCCATTTAAAAAATGGGGGTACCGTACCTACCATTCACTTGATTGGTCCACACAGGTATATCAATTTTAATTTAGACTTAAATAATCCAACTGCAACATTCTGATTGGTCCATGTGGACAAATGTACGGTACCTTTTAGGTACCATAGAATCTACCTATTTCGAATGCAACTTTTTCAGCTTTTAGCAGATTCAACACATTTAGCCATGCATTTCAATGAAAATTTCACTAATTTCATCAGATTCACTAATAATTTGTGTAGCAATCTACTAACTTCAATATTTGCTTATCAAGTTATCATGCTTATAGACAAATTATTCGTACTGAGTATATAGAACTATTCAATATGAGTAGTGAGTTTATGACTACAAAATTACTCAATTAACTAATATGTCTAGTAATAATGACTAAATAAAAATGGAGTGAATGTACATGACAATAATGATTTGTAAGCGGAGTTAATGTGTATGCTAAATATCATGTATTATGTCACTACTTTTTGTTACAATACGATTTGTATTAAAAATGAAGCGATTTTGCAACGCTTTGAACACGTCATAAATCATACTCCTTCTGTCCCATTGGGCTTTGCCAACTTTCCCTTTTTGGTTGTCCCAATAAATTTTACCACTTTCCTATTAAAACAACTAATTTGTGGTTCTGCACATTTCTCTCTCATCTGCACAAATTTCAACCACACAGTTTTTATTATTTTTATTTTTCACCTACTTTGCACTTGGCAAAGTCTACCGGGACGGAGGTAGTATATTGTTTCAATATAGTTCTTTTTCTAAGGACTAATATATAGTAGCTGAATATAAGTATTTTCACATATTATAGTTTTCATACTTTTATTTAGTTGTTTTAATTTTTGACATACTTTTAGTCCTTTAAAATTTGTTCTAGCTAGTTCCGCCAAACTAGATGTTTGTCTCAGTTTGTCTGTAGTGTCAACGAGTATAATCACCGCAAATTATGAGTTTTTATTCTGATCTTGACATATTCTGATCTTACAAATGAATAATTTATGTTGCAGTTTCGACAATAAGAGTTCCCTTGGCTTGAATTTCATTATACTATGTATGTGAAGAGGAAGGGAATCCAAAAAGCTACAAAACGTGGTACAAGTCTTCCCATTTGTGTGCTTATTATTAAGATTCTACTAATGTTTATTTTTTGCGATTCTCTGAGTCCATGTGATAAAGAGAATACTTCTTCTGTCCCATTTTACATGTCTTATTTTTCTTTTCAGATTTTCCAAAATAAGTGTCACTGCACGTTTTTTTTTGGAAAAAATATGTGACCTACAACATTTCGTTTATTAATTATAATCAAATCGCAATCACAATTTTTACATTTCAACCAAACATTCCAAGAAAATGCCTTGTTTGAGAAGGGAAAACAAGGTGTATAGTAAAAACCTAAAAAATGATCGCTAATCATTAATTGCGACGGAAAAAGTGGCCGCGTGACAGCAGTTATTGGCATCGCCGCAAATGATATTTTGCCGAAAACAGATTCGTCGCAAACGTGATCATAAACCATAATATCCACTGAATGCTTAACTTTGTTCTGTCCAAAATTTTAATATCCCGCTGTGGATTACTACTCCCTCCATCCCATTTTGGTTGTCCTACTTTCCTTTTTGGGTTGTCCCAAAATGAATGTCTTGTTTCCTTTTTTAGATGAAATATGTGGTTCTTATCAATTCACTTTATTCTACTCAAATCTTAACCACAACTTTTACTTTTCAACCACTTTATTAATAATCGTGCCAAATTGAAAGTGGACAACCATTATGGGAGGGAGGTAGTATTATTTAACCCAAAAGACGAATCATGTCACTAACGAATGAATTAATATTTTCTTTTTGAAAGGAGAAATTAATCGATTCAATACCGCCTTACGACGAAGAAAAACAAATCAAATTAAAAATAAATAATCACGAGCATCTTCAGCCGGAGGGACACATTCTGGCCCTATCACAATCCCGCCTTCCTTTGTTGACCGGCTGCAGGGGCGGCAAACCTGGACGAGAAATTACGCAAAAGCTCATCTTCTTCCGCCGCCGCGCCGTCATCGAAATTCAGAGCATAGCTCCGCGCGTCGTATATGAACTGGGTCTTCTGATCACGCTTCGCCGCCGGAGGGAAAGCTCTTCCCACTTTCCTCAACAAATCACTCCACTTTTTCCTCGCCAAAAGCTGCGGCGGCTCCCTCATCATCTCCGCCGCCTGTCTCCGGCACCACGGCTGTCCGGAGAACGGAGTCGAACAGCCGCACTCGGACGGAGAAGCCGCCGCCTCTTCTTCGCACCCGCCGTCGTGTACCGCCGTTCCAGTCGACGAGTTACCGCCAATGAACGGCTGCCTTTCTTGATTAGCGCACATATTGTATTGATTTCGGTGAATTCGTACGTAAGTGTTTGGAGGGGTTAATGGGGTTTGATTATCAAAATTAGGGGAGGTTTATGAGGTTTATATACGTAACTGTGTTAGGGCATGTAATTATTGCTTATTGGTGGGGCCAATAAGAAGAAACTTGCTTGCTACACACGGAGGGGTGATTTCACAACTCTGATTAAAAACGGATTACACACTTGTTAAAGTTATTATCGGTAATTTATGTGACTGATGTTGTTTCCTAATTGTGTTTACACCTCTCACAGTCTCACCTCCACATGTAATAATGATCCGATATGTTCATTTATGATAGGTTGATAAGAAACTAAGATTATCATTTTTTTGTTCTATAAATAGAAGTAATTAATGTCAATATCATATTTTGGCAATATCATATTTTACACATGGTAGTATTTTCCCAACATGACAACAAATACTCCTATTCAGAAAATAAACACATGACAGTCCTATTTTGAAATTCTCAAAAAATATTACTCCTATTTCTGGAAATCTCCCTACAACTATCTAATAAAGGTTATAAAATAAAGATGAAATTCACCTTTATATTATTTGAATTGCATATTAGGACAAAAGTTACAACACATGTATCACAAAAGAAAATTGTGAAGTAAAATCATAAATAACTGCTTTATAATCAATCTTTTCCAAGATCACATGTGCAATGTTTAAAATTGCTAATTCATTAGGTTTTTTGAGGCATAATAGATAATTGGGATGATGCTTGAGAATTGGGAGGCACCGGCAGCCCAAAGACAATAATATAAATTGGTAATTTTGTAATTAAAAGGGAAAAAATCTTAAAGGATAAAAAGATGTGAAGTGACGTGTTTTTATTGATTCAACAACAAATGTGTTGACTTACAACCAACTCTATTTAAAAATCAAAACTAAATTTATATTCTTTTTAAAAACTTGTCTGGCTTTGTTCAAGACTTTTTACTTATGTTTTAAAATTCTCAAATTGTCAACAAAAATTACACATTAGGTCTAATTAATTAATTGAAATTATAAATAAAAAAAGAAGCCTACTCATATTACATACTAGTATAAAGAAAAAAAATTGGGCCTAATTTTCTTTATACTTTTTTTCGGGCCTAGGGCGGTCGCCCCTGCTGCCCTCCCCCTAGGACCGGCCATGCTTTTAATACTAATCACTTTTTTCAAAATCACTTAACTCTTTTAAGCAAAAGCATTTGCAAACATGTTAATAGCCTAATTAAACGCAATGATAGATGTGGGTGCATTTCAGAATTTGGGGGCATTTTCAGATACTGAATGAATAAAAAATCAAAACACTTTCTATACGATAAATGGGGGCATTTTTAGAATTTGGTGTGAGTAAAGGCCAGAGACATAATATGCCCCTAGCTACACCTCCCTTGACTAAGCACTTCATTTGGCTTATAGAAAGATGTTTGATACATACATACTCCTTTGGGTTCTTAAGTCTGAGAGTCGCGAGTTAATTAAATTAGCGGAACACTATTAATACATAAATTATGCACACGATCACATTATGATTTGAATATTGTGTCAAATCCCTTACATTATAATTACACACGTCATTAGGAGGTAGGTATGACGATATTCCACTGCTCATGATCAATAAAAAATTTGGTTTGGAGAAGGCATGAATGGCTGAATCGATGTTGCTGGTGAAGTTTAAAAGGAAAAGTTTAATCCAAACGCTATTGTTTGCTTAAGTAATGTATAGTAGCAATTAAAAACTAAATACTTCGTATCACGTCACGTAACAAGGAATTTCAAAATTGAAATATACAACAATATTTTGATTAATTATAACTTTTCCGCTTTTAGGATTCAACACATTAGCCACGCATTTCAAACAAAATTTCTCTAATTTCATCAAATTCAATCTATTCAAGTATTACCTAATGAACTCTAAATGTGTAGCAAATCTACTAACTTCAATATTTGCTTATCATGCTTATAGACATATTATTTGTACTGATCGAGCGTATAGATGAACTTCAATATGAGTAATGAGTATATGACCCTATAAAATTACGTAATTCACTAATATGTCTAGTAATAATGACTAAATAAAAATGAAGTTAATGTACATGATATTAATCATTTGCAAAGAGAGTTAGTGTGTATGCCAAAAATCTTGTATTCCGTAACTTATTTGTTAAAATACGATTTTGTATTAAAAATAAAGCATTTTGCAACGTTTTCAACTCATCATATATTGTTTCAATTTAATTCTTTTTCTAAGGACTAATAGTAGCTAAAATACGTATTTATACGTATTATACTTTTCATAATTTTATTATAATTTAGTTGTTTTTATTTTTGCCATACTTTAAGTCACCTCAAAATTTGTTCTAGTTCAGCCTCTAGATGTTTGTCTGAGTTTGTGTATAATGTCAATGAGCAAGAATCAAGCGCAATCACCGCAAATTGTGAGTTTTTATTCTTGTCATATTCAGATTTTACAAATGAATAATTTTATGTTGCAGTTTTGAGGACAACAAGTTCGTTTCGCTATTCTCTCATTCCATGTGATAAAAAGAATACTTCCTCTGTCTCATTTTACATATCTTATTTTCCCTTTTGGATTATCCCAAAAAAGTATCATGTTTCCTTTTTTGGAAGAAAAAATGTGGTTTACAACATTATTTCACATAATTATACTCAAATCTCAATCACAAATTTTACTTTTCAACCATTTTATTAATAGTTGTGCCAAACCAAATTAGGACAAATAAAATGAGACGGAGGTAGTATGATTTAAAATTGAGATTATATATTGACGTTTATAATACTTGCGTATTGCATCATATGCAACACACAGACGAAAACTAGTTATTTAATTTGATGCAAGGACCATGTAACTAGTTGTAACATAATGTTTTATGGATCAGATTAACTTTAATTAATTTGTTAAATTAGGATATATTACCTCTATCCCGATAATATTACAAGATTAATATAAATTATGAATAAATACAAAAAAGTACTTGCAGTATCGCGTGTTTTCAAACAGGGAAAAAGATTCATTTTTTCACAAAGTGTGACATGTGTATTCAAATTGGGATTCTCCGTGTTAACTCCATAAAAAACAAGGCAGAATGGATATATAAAAAGTGACACGTCACCTTCCCTTTGACAGAGTTTAGACAAAGGCCCCATGAATGCTAACATATTGAAAACGCATGTTCTACTTTGTAAAAAAATGAATCTCAAACCCCGTATTTGAAAAGTGTACAACCACAAGTACATTTTTGTACTTATCCCTATAAATTATGTAATGTTATATTGAAAATTGTCACAAATATTTAGACAATAAGTAATTCAAGTATATTTTCATATGTAATTTTGCTAGATATATAACACAATTGGGTTATTGATGATAAATGTGGTGTTACATGTTTGTTATTATTTTTATTTTGATGATTAATTATATTTTAAAATAGAAATGATGAAACGCTAAGTTGAATTATTATCTAAAAGAAAGTGAGAAGCTTAAGTTTGGACATAAAATACGTAACACTCCAAGCAATACAAAATACGTAGTATGCGACTTTTTTTAAATGTAAAGTCACTAATTAACCATATGCTGAATTTAATAAATAATAAATTATTACATGGACTCGACTAAAATTTTGTCACCACAAATGAATAACAAAAATCTATAATTATACAGTGAACAAGTGAAAATTTAATTTGATTATGTTAATCTATATACTTCTAACCGATATAGAAAACCTACAATTTCACTATAAAAAACCCACAATATAATTGAACAACAAATATATGTATACTACGTATGTAATAAACAGTGATATTCACTTGATAGAATATTTACCTTTGTTCCATAAAAAATTGACATGGTCACATGGATTAATATATTAATCACGCTATAGATTGTGTCACTAATAATCAGTGAACGGATAAATTAATCAATCCTCCAACTATCGATTACAAAGATTTTTTCGAAAAAGAAAGAATCACGAAGCATCCCGAGTCGTATTGACAAATATGCCCTTATCACATTCCCGCCTCCCATCGTTGACCGGCCGGAGGGGCAGCATACCTGGACGAGAAATTACGCAAAAGCCCCTCGTCGCCCGCCGCCGCGCCGTTATCGAAATTGAGAGCATAGCTGCGCGCGTCGTATATGAACTGTCCCTTCTGATCACGCTTCATCTTAAGAGGGAAAGCTCTCCCCACTTTCCTCAACAAATCATTCCACTTTTTCCTCCCCAAAAGCTGCGGCGGCTCCCCAGTCGTCTGCGCCGCCTGTCTCCGGCACCACGGCTGTCCGCAGAACAGCGCCGAACAGCCGCACCCGGTCGGAGAAGCCGCCGCATCTTCTTCCAATCCGCCGCCGTGAGCCGCCGCTCCAGCCGACGAGCTGCCGCGAATGAACGGCTGGCTTTCGTGATTAGCGAACATAATGTATGGAATTCGTACGAAGGGTTTATGGGATTTGAAATTGTGAAATTTGGGGAGGCTTATGTACGAAGCTGAGTTAGCGCGTAAGGTTTGTGTGTACTATTATAGGCTTATATTGGACCAATAAGAAACTTACGTGCTACACACGCACGGGATAGTAGTTTCCTCGTTCGGACTGAACACGTACTAATTGGGAACTGGTGTAACTAATATGGATTTTTATGTGTGCTAGGTCATTGGAACGTGTAAGATCAATATGGGGCCTACGCAATTAATGACTTTGATCCTGTTTAATTTATAGATTTATCAGTTAACTCTTTCATCAAACATCATTACTCTTCGGTGCTTTGACGCGAGTAATATTATAACTTTATACACCACTAAAAAAAAGTTATACAAATTCATGCGCATTTTAAGGATAAAATAATTTAAATATATCAAACTTTGAAAAGGTGTGAGAAAGTATATCATATTTGTACTTGTAATATATATAGCGCAACTATATAAAAAAAATTATATTAACACCATGAATATATAGTTTTTTCACAAATATAATGTTAAGGTATCAAGTACGTAATTTAAAGTACACAAAATATTTATGATGATGCCATTAAAATTAAGTTGTACCGAATGTAACATTATATATTCCACAAATGAAATTCAGAATGTTAATTGCATTTCAACAAAGTTTAGTGTGTTTTAAACTATGCAATTATTCCAATACTTTGTATTTATAAAAAAACATACATTCATCGTGCAAAAATAACTCTTTATCAAAAGTTCAGGATGTGTGTGCGCGCGCATGTGTAGTTACATACGCAAGTTCAGTACTTATTTCACATCCCATTAATTTGGAGTATTTAATTTTTTCCCCACCATATTTAAAATCAGTCACGCTTACATTTCTTTGTCGCTAGAGTCAGGTCATACATAAAAATCAATCATACCGAGTAACTTTCACATAGACAGTAGTAGGTGTTCACAATCAAATAAAAAGTTATCCTGGGCACAAAATGTTTATTATTTTTAAAAGTTGACTTTTCACACCATTTATTGACTTTATTCTCTCGCTTATCTAACAAACTTGTCGGTATTTTTTTTTAAATGTGCATAAAAATATACATTTTTACCCTACGAATATTATAATTATACATATGTAAGTGAAATTACAATTATAGGCATAATTATGATTTTAGTGATAATTATAATTATACCTGCCATTATGATATTCTTGTAATTTTCAATTGTATATTTGTATTTTTTATTAGTTTTGTTGTTTGTTAGTTTGTAAATTACACAGTTTTGGTGTAATACTTTAGTTTGTTAAAATATTATAATTTGTTTAGATTTTGATTATTCCGAGTTTAGGATAAGTCAAAATCATTCAAAGGATCAAAGAATGGATCTCAAATATCAAAGGATGTGCAAAGGAACAAGATCAGACAAGGATAAGAAAAAAAATGTTCATATACCCAGTCAGGTATATGCAATACCCGATCGGGTATTGACCAAATTTGAATATCAAAATCAAATTCGGAGAATAAATGATTGTGGCCGAGTATACTTGAAGATTTGGTCTCATACTCGATCGGGTATACCGACATACCCAGTCGGGTATGTGTGATTTTTACAGCTTTTGGGGAATGATAAGTCCATATTTAGACACGCATTTGATGCGTATTGGTTGCGGCTTTTGATGGTTTTCCTAGCTTTAAGGTGTCACAAGTCTCAATTTTAGCTCAAATTATGTTTACCAGGCGTTGGTTCGAGTTTTGTGTCATTTGGAGTCAAAATCAGGATTTTAGAGTTCGGCATCGGCGCTTGAGGAGAAATTGGGACGAGTTAAGAAGCATTCAAGAGTGATTTGAGAGATTTGAAAGTCACCGGGAGGTTTACGATGAAGATTTGATGACAAAAGAGCTATAGGATTGGATAAGGAATCAAAAGAAGATGAATGAAGCTGGAAAACGACGATCAGGATGACCTTCTGTCACTCGTTCAAGCATATCTCTTTGTAGAAACATCCAAAGGACACGATTCAAGTTCAATATGAAAGCCAACTTCAAGATATACAAATCATATGAAGACACCATTTAAAAAATCTGAGAGGCAAAAGGTGAAAACAGACGATGAAGTCAGATGATCGCTGTTGAGATTTCAGAATGAGACCTTCCACCCTTTTGATCATATCTCTTGATTGGATGATTCAAATCCGATTCCGCAAGTTGAGTTGGATAGAGAATTTCATTATCTACAACTTTCATGAAGGAAGTTTTGTCAAATTCGGAAGTTTGACGCACGCCGTGCGTAGGGGAACGCACGATCGTGCGTCCGAGGCGAAAACAGAAAAAAGCCACTGCCATGTACGCACGACAGCACGATCGTGCGTGGCAGGGTACGCACGATCGTGCGTACATACGGAACGCGGATTTCAGCCTTTTTTAAGCCTCAGTTCAGCCCAAACTCATCTGTTTTCTATAAATAAGGTCTCCCTTCTCCTGTTTAAGGGTTACGAACATTACGGAGAGGGCTAGGGATGAATTCACTTGCGTTTTTACGATTGTTTACTCCAAGACCCTGAGATTCTTTGCATGTTCATTCTTTTTAATTAATGACAATTTATTCTATTCATCCCAATTCTATTGATTCATCAATTATGAGTTGTGAGTAGTTTAATTAGAGATTTGGGGTTGATGAAGGGGTTAATCATGATGTATGGCTAGATTCTTGTTGGTTTAATTGCATGAATGCCATTTAATTTGTGTTTGAATAATTTAATTGATATCTCTTGTAACCTAGATGGCCACTAGAATTACAATTGCATGTAGAATGAATGAAGAGATATCTAATTTGTTATAGGACACATTCACACACACTTAATCGCTCGCTAAGAGATTAGTAGCGATTAAGGGGCCGTAAGCTCGCTCGTCTTGGCAATAATTTAGGATCCTGTCGCATGAGAGACCAGCCTGGTCCCCTAAATTATTGTACTCTACGCCGCGAGAGCGGTAAGAACTTAGTAATGATTAGCTAGGCTCAATTAAATTAAATTCATGTAATTAGGCCTGATTTGCCAGAAATCTGGTTACCCCGGAATCAATCTCTGTTCCCTTCGTCGTTAATTGAGAAGAAACCAAACTTTTATTTTATTGCTAATTAGCATTAGTTTAATTTTCCAAACCAATCAATCTCGCACAATTGCATTTTATTTTATTTCTTTTTAATCGCTGAATTTAGTTAATCTTTATTTCATCTTTGTCCGTCCCTGTGGAGACGATACTCGTACTTTTACCCACTATTCTACTACAATTTTTAGTGCGAGAAAACACACATGAGGGAACTACTAGGTACCCGACAAAGGGATGACGTACGGCACCATGCCTTTGATGTGTCAAGCTATGTGGGTTGTGGGCTACCTGCTTACTTATGGTTTACAAGTCAAAAATCGATTTTGATAAAAAAATACGTAGTACATAATATTGAGAGACATAATTGATGAAAGCTAACGTACAAAGTTTAATTGACTTTCCTTACAAAGTTGGGCTTTCTATTAGACACTTTTTTTAGGGGTGGGATCAGTCCGGTGTTGGTCGGGTTTTAGCGAAACCTAAAATACCCGTAAAGTATCGGGTTATGAAATTAAAGACCGTAACAAAGCCCAATATATTGGGTCCGAGACATGTTTTAGGTAGCCCGTGTCACGCCCCGGACCTCCCTGGGCACGTCAACAACCCGCCGTACAATACGAATAGTCAACCGTAGCCCAACACATTCATATTATACAAAGCGTCTTGAATATCATTCACACATATAACATCCATAAACAAACATAATAAGTAATTCATAGCGCAACGGAAAACATTGTTTAAAAAAAAAGGCCACACAGGGCTATACATGAGCACGCAGGCTCTATAATAAAATATCCATGAGCAAATTTATTAATGTTTCAAATAGAATGGAGGAAGCACGAACCAAGTCTTCTCTCCGAGGAATCACTCAATCAACGAGCACAGGATGCAAGCTCAAGCCTCAACCTAAAATGGTGGTGGGACGCCCCTGAAGGGGTCAGTACTCTATATGGCTATAAAGTACTGGTGTGGTGGGCATCTAATAGATATACAACACGTATTTCAAACACAAGACCCTCAAATAGGGTGATAGTACATTATGACCGTAACCCTAAGTTATCCCATTCGAAAATATACTTACTTTATATAAAAGTCAAGTAGTCGGGCCGTGGGCCCATATTCATTTAGAAATCACCATTCCCATTCCCCGTGACTATAAGCCACGACAACTCATAGAGTCCAACCCTAACACATGACATTGTATTCTAGAGCTCGGCTCTACCACATCACCATACAATTCATGTCACTTGGGTCAATTTCCTTACCTTGCGTTCTAGAGCTCGGCTCTATCACATCACCACGCAAGCCCCAGAGCTCGGCTCTAGTTATATCATACATAGACTACAAGTCTACCACCTTACCATGCATTCTAAAGTTCGGCTCTATCACATCACCATGCACCAAGGTCCAATTCTTAAGCAACCTTATGCCTAGAATTGACATATCAATAAACTACCATGGGTCATCCTTAAAGACTGCCCATAACTTAACCTTAGTCTCATACTAAGTCATTATACACACTTGAAGTATATTCAAGTGCATTTCATACAATCCAATCCTTAAGATCAATTCTATCAACAATTTCCAATAATCACTAACTAGTATTTCAATACTATTAAGATTATTGTTATCATACAAATACTCTCATTTTGTAATTCTCTACATATTTATAAGCATGTAGCAGCAACTTAAGTATTCAATTTCAATACATAAATATTCATTTATGTATCCACATAATTCATACATGAGTAAAATCCCTATTTCACAAAATAGTTCATTTATAACTCATTTAATCTCATATTATTCATACATCCTCAAATCATTTCCAATTTCATTCTTTGGGAACTTTATCCATATTTCATCAATATTTAATCATCATAATCCATGAAAAATTATGATTTAGGCATTTAGGTAATCTCATGCTTAACCTACAAGTTGTAAGCAA